AAATAAATCTGAGTGCCTGTCTTTAAAGGGGGAGGCTCCGAGCCTGTTTCCAGCCCTTCTTTTCAAGGGGATTTGCATGTCTCCCAAAGGCTCATGGGAATGCTTTTGAAGGACTCATCACGACCGAGGTGGTATACAGCAGGGCTGGGCTAGCGGAAAGGAGAATTGTTGGAGATGTATTAAAGGTGCTACTCTTAAGTGCCCTTTGAAGCTTTCTTGCCCCGTGGAAGGGAACTCAAAAGGCATTCAAATGCCCTCGAGCCATCTTTTCCTGGGTCCCGTGATGCCCCCCCCCCAATGCCACAGTGGGAAAGGAAGCCGGAGGGCAAGCCATGGCATTCTCACCCTGGATGCTGCCAGCAGGACAGAGGTCTCTCCTCAAAAATAAGGTTTCTGGCACGGCTGTTCGTGTGGCAGGCTTTTATTTAAGGGGGCAGGGCCCCAAGATGCCCCACTGTAGCTATGGGCCTGCGGCTGGAGGGACTGTGGTGCAGTGCTTAGAGTAGCGGACTTGTATCTGGAGGACCTAGGGGTTTTTTTAAGTTGTTTTTATTGGTTTTTCTTAATTAAAAAGAATATCTACCTATCTACATATCATATACATTTCGAGTCTGTTATGATATCTTTTCCTCTGTCCATTTATACACTCGTGACCATCTCTTCAAATAAACATTTTCATCTTTATCCTTTAACCACAAACTTAGTTTATCCATTTCTGCTAAGTTCATAGTTTTATTAAGTATTTCTCTTTCTCCGGGAATTTCCTCAGATTTCAATTTTTTTGCAAAAAGAATTCTAGCCGAAGTAATTATTAGACTTATCAAGCATTTATCAACATAACTGATTTCATCTGGTAATATATTAAGTAGGTAACATTCTGGTTCAACTTTTAGTTCTATGTCAGTAATATCTAGTATTATTTTCTTAATTTTTCTCCAATACTTTTGGGTATTGGTACAACACCACCACATATGGTAAAAAGTACCAACCTTAATTTTACATTTCCAACATTTATTATCATTTTTGTTATAACATTTCGCTATTTTTTCAGGTGTCCAATACCACCTGTAAAACATCTTAAATATATTTTCCTTATATGTAATAGCTTTCATCATTTTAGATGCTTTCCATATTTTGTTCCATTTCTCAATTTCTATAATGTGCCCTATGTCTCTTATCCACAAAGTCATTGCTGGCTTAATTGTTTCTTCTAACATATAATCATTTAATTGTAGTTTATACAGTTTTTGAATAAGTTTATCATTGAAAGATAACCAAATCTTATCAAGTTCATTTTTATTACTTTCAAAACCTTAGGATCTATCTTTGGTATATCTTGATTTTAATTGCAAATATTGCCACCATGATAGCTGTATATTATGCTGCATCAATTTTTCTGGATTTTTCAAGTCATTATTCCCCCCCAGGAGTATTTCATAACTTTCTCTATTATTAATTAACGAGGGTTTCATGAATGCCTCTAAAAGTGATACCCATTTTGAAGTTCTTATATAGTATCTTTCTTTTATAAAATTCCATGTTTTAATCAATGATCCTCTTATCATGTGTTGGTGAAAGTTAGAATGAATTTTATCTTTTCCACACTATTGCATCAGCCTATGATTTCTTGCTTATGGAGCATGGGGTGGTGGTGGGAAACCGGTGTCTGGAAACCCCTGCCTGTAATGCAATCTATTTTACCAGTTCCAGAACTACAAGATGTTAACTCGTTCCTGTGTGGGCCTGATTCAGATCCAGGCTTTGGTGCACAGGGAGAAGGTAGGGTTGCCAAGTGGCACTCACCTCCTCCGCGGGGGACTCCCGGGCAGATCCCGGGGCGCGTGCCGCATGCATGTCACTAGGAAATGACGTTATGATGCCGGGCATGCTGGGGGCGGGGCCACAACCATAAAAGGGAAAACCATAGAGTTTTCCCTTGTATGACCGTGGCCCCACCCCCAGCGTGCCCGGCATCATAGGGTCACTTCCTGGTGATGCGCATGCTGGGGCGGGGTTCCCCCCGGGGCCCGATTCCCCAGCGTCGGGGAATGGGCCTCTGGGGCGGGGGTTTCCCCACCCCCCGGGGCAACTTGGCAGCCCTAGGAGAAGGTCTTACTTGACCCTTCCCCTCCCTGTCATTTCCCCAACTCGAAGCGGCCACAGGAAGTCACTGTGTGCTCCGGCATGTCCTGTGGTGGTCATGTGGAGCACACAAGGACTTTGTTATGTGTGAATTTGTGATCTCCTTGAAATGCTGCTCCTGGGGTGCAGGGTAGGGTTGTCAGGTTCCCCCTGGCAACGGATGGAGGGGGCGGGGACACTTACCGGCAGTGAAGAGAGACCTAGGCCGGTGCTGCTAACAACACCGTGATGTCACTTCTGGCGCGGACAGGAAGTGGTGCTATTGCATCGCTGGTGGCATGGGGACACTCTGGTATTTGGGCAGAAACTCTATAGTAGAAGTCATTTCTGCCATACAGTTTTCACCCAAATACCAGAGCTCTCTTTGTCTCTGGCAACACAATGATGTCACTTCCGGTGCACGCTGGAAGTGACGTCACCATGGTCCTAGCAGGGGGGATCTACCAGCCTTTGATGCCGGTGAATCCCCCTGCCAGCCAGCCAATCAGTGGTGGGGGTGGGTCCTCAGGGCTAGGGGATGCCCTGTTCCCATTGGGGGGGTCTGGAAAGCCTGTTTCAAAGATCCCATTAAGATACACCGGATGGGAGTAGAGAAGGCAGAAAGGTTCCGTTCCACTGATAGAGAGGCCTTCTGTTAATGGAACTGAACTTTGGATCCAATCCATTGATTTTTCATTACTAGCAAGTCTACATGACTGAGCTACTCAATGAATTCTCAATTATTTCCTCCCCGTGTTTAACAAAGCAAAGCGCCTATAAGGCAAAGCAAGGGTCGTAATAATGGCACTGCACTAAGAGTGGCTTTTTAAGGACCCTATTCTGAACGTAATTGCAGAGGTCCAACTCTTCTCTTCCTTAGGGGACAAAAAAGCCTCTTGGCCTGTGACCCCACCAGCCCTTAAGAGAAGCTCCGCCGTCTGAATATGAGAATTCTCACTGCCCTCATCCCAAGCAGAGAAGACGGAAACTTTCCCCATTTAGTGATCCATACAGATAAGCTGTAAGAGATTCAGCAGAAAACCTCATGACAATTTCCTAGGCTGCAAAAACGGATGGGGGTCAAATGCCACCACCGGCCACGACAAATCCTGAAGTCAATGGAGTCCTGGTAGGTTTATCTGAGGGTCACCGGCCTCGCAGAAATGTTGCAATCCCCAGTCTCAAAGCATCCGATTGCAGTTTTGTTTGTCCTTCTCTATTTATGCTTTAGGCAAAAAGAAGGACAGCAAAATTTAGTCTGCAGCGTGACCTTTTCGGCTTTTGGCCTCTAGGGTCGCTGCTTTCCCCCTCCTGGCCCTGATCCTTTTCTCTTAACAGGGTCAGAAATACATAAATACAGCAGGGGAAGTTATGCCTGGCCATGGAGAAAACCTGATGGAGGAAGTGGCATCTTCTTAATCCGTGTTTGAAGCTGTGACTAAATAGGCATGGGAGGAGGGCTAGG